TGTGCCGGGACCTGCCCCCCGGGAGGGCTGTGCTGGGGGGGCTGCCCGAGCGCCTCATCCCGCCGGGGTCCGTCGTGGGGCCGTGAGGGGAAAGGGCGGAGGGGACCAACATGGGAAAGGACCGCGGGTGAGCCTGATGGGGACAGCCTGAAAAACTTGCCCTAGAGCAGAAGCAAAAGCAGTAATACAGACGAGCCTTCAGTGTTTAGCATGCCCCAAATACACTATCAGTATTAAGGTAAAGCACATCAGAAAGGATTTGTGGGATAGACTGGTTTGGGTTGGAAGGGACCTTAAAATAATCTAGTTCCAAACCTCCTGCTTGGGCAAGGTCACCTCCCACCAGACCAGGTTGCTCAAAGCCCTGTCCAACCTGGTCTTGAACGCTTGAGGGAGGGGGCATCCTCAGCCTCCTTAGGCAGCCAGTTCCAGTGTCTCACCATCCTCGCAGTGAGGAATTTCTTCCTAATATGCCACCTAAATCTAACGTCTTTCAGCTTGAAACAGTTTTCCCTTCGCCCTATCCCTACAAACCCTGGTAGGAAGTCCCTCTCCAGCTTTCCTGTAGGCCCCCCTTCAGGTACTGTAAGGCCATCTGTAAGGTTGCCCCAGAGCCTTCTCTTCTCCAGGCTGAACAACCCCAAATGTCTCAGCCTGTATCCCATGGGAGAAGTGCTCCAGCCCTCTGATCATCTTTGTGAGCCTCCTCTGGACTCGCTCCAACTGTGTGCTATGTCCTTCTTGTGTTGGGAACATAAGAAAGGGCCCCAGAACTGGATGCAGTACTCTAGGTGGGGTCTCATGAGAGTGGAGTAGAAGATAGAGAAGTGGTTTTTAGCTGTTTGACATAGATTTGGTTGCAAAGGTTTCACTTCTCCTCTCTAAGTCTCACATTTGACAGGATCCTGCAGAGCAGTTGCAGTGCTCAGTAGAGAAGGAAGTCTGAAGTTTTCAATAGGGACTTAGGAAAGATCTAGCAATGATGTATTCTGAAGTATTAAGCATTGATTTGGAGACCACTGGGATAATCTGGGGGTTAAATTTGGAGTAAGGAAACTAGGTAATTATTTTATATTTATAAAATAGATACTGTATTTTATTTTAAGCATGGTCAGAATTTTATTCTGACTAACCATCCAAAGTAGTTGGTAGCTGTGTCAGATACTCAGCAATAGCATGTCTTTTAGTGGGTAGATCTCTTAGACTAGCAGTCTTGATGTAGCAAGCTATGTATACTGACAAGAAAAACAAACGATGGTTAGGATGCAGAATTTGGCAGTATAATCAAGCACTCTGCACAGTACTTGGTTAAAAATATTATTCTCTTAAAAAAACGCAACAAAAAAAATCTTAGCATTGAATCATATCTTCTATGAGTGCAAATAGTGCAGAGCTTGAATAGATGACTTACTTGCCAATTTCAATGTCAATTTCTGTTTTGAAACTAGTTACATTAAGGGTGTTTAAGTTTTTTACATACATAGAATGTTTCAAGAAACCACATGTTTGCAGTGTTAATGCAAAATGTTGCTGTTGAATTTAGATTATTATACCTTCAAGTTTCCTTCCAGCCACTCATGAACATTTAGCTTGGGCTAATCCTTTCCAGAAAGAGCTAAAATAGCGCATTAATTTCTGTGTTTTGTGAACCTGGGAAGGTGCATGTAAAATCTAGGGCTTCAGTAGGAGGCAGTAAAGATGGATTCATGTTCTTCTCTGTGGTGCCCAGTGACAAGACAATACGCAGAGTGTAAAATATAACAAATACCATTTAAATCAATAACACTTTCTTTACTGTGAGAATGGTCAAACACTAAATAAGTTGTCTGGGGAGCTTGTGGAGCATCTATCCTTTGAGTTATTTGAAAACTAACTTGAAAAGGCCCTGTGTAACTTGATCTGTTTAATTTGATCCTGTTTTGAGGACAAGATGGTCTCCAGAAGTCCTTTTGAACTTCACCGTTTCTATATGATACTCTTCAATAATTCTGAAACTGCAGAAAGAATACTCATGCTTTATTCTTTCTGCTCACCAACTGCTGTGTTATCATGCAAATATTTAAGTTTTCTAAGCAAGTGTTCTGTTAGCAAGACAGATCTTTTCATTAACAGTTTGATATTTCAGACTAAACATTTCTAATACACATATTGTCATAGCACATTGTGATGGGGCAAAACTTGATTAATAGAAATAAGGAAAATGTCTTAAAATTGTGAGGTGTGTAGATACAAATTCTTAAATCATTAAGAGAGCAACAGCTGCTTAGAATTTGCTGCCTTTCACTGGGGAAATTTCAGTGGCAACACAAAACACCTTACTGTGTATTTATCTTAGACTGTATATCGGTTAGGTGGGTGATTCTCACAAAAGCCATGAATTGCATTAATCAAGGAACTGCATTTCTTTTTCAGACACAGATAATGTTGAACAGCTATATGAATGTCCAATGTGCAGTCTTACTTGTACAAACATTCAGATTCTTGAAGAACATGTGGATTTACACTTGGAACAAAGCTTTTCAGATGGTATGTGAAAGGATGCAGGCTTGGTACTTGAAAGCATTTAGAAGTCTTTGAATATTGCACTGTAGAATCTCTGAAAACACGTAAAGTAAATACTTCCTGATTTTAAAAGAGTGCTGGACACATACATAATGAAGGTAACATAGCTAATAGCAAGTCCTATCACTTGCTTAAGTGCTTTTTTTAATCACACATGCAAGAACAAGTATTTGTCTGTGTGTGCTTCTGAAGTAAATGTACTGTGTGTTAGCCAAAACGAAAACTTAAAGCAAGAAATGTTGAAAAGACAGTCATATTATATATTATTTTTTAGCTCTGTAGAAGGTTTACATACATGGAATTTAGAGTGGCACATACCAGTGCCATAAGCTGAAAATCGTATAGCTCATTAAAATGTGGTTTTTTTTACTCAATTCTTTTCTCTAAATGTTTATACTGATTCATTAGTCATAGCAATAAAGGAATCAAAATTAATTTTAATTATTAGCATGGCAAATAAAATCCTAAAGATTTTCTATCCAATTCTCTGATCCTAAATTTACTTTTGTCACTTTGTTATGAGACTGCTGAGAGTGATCACAGAAGCTGGTAAGTGTGTGGTTTTCGAGAAACTTGGACTTCTTACTAACAATTAAATGAAACATTGCAAACAAAAGCTGTTTTCTCAGTAGCAGAGGTACATGCCAGGTAATTGCTCCAGTAACTGCATAAACCTTGTCCAAGTCAAGAGTTTGAGTCTTGGTAGACTGAATGCAGTTAATCCTTTTTAGTGTTAGTTGCTAGCAGCTCAAAATAATGTGGGATGCATCTCCTAAAATCAATTCGCTGTTGTGTGTATATGTCTGCTTAGAAAAGAACCTTTAAAAATTAAATAAATGATCCATCACAGCATTGTTAACCTCCCTATCAAGTCTTCTCTCTTTGGAATTTTATTCCTGGGTAGGTGGAAGCATAAGAGATCTAGAACTGGCTCAGTGGCTTCAAAATGAAGAAGATAAATGTCAGAGATCAGAAGAAGAGAAGCGGGAGAGGGAAGAATTTAAAAAGCTGCAGGTAGAGTAATATTTCTAAATGGTAACATTTTGAACAGTTGTGCCATTCAAAACTGAGTATCTTGAAACTGTGGTGACCTGTAATGCCCATACCAGGTCAGACCTGTGCAGTCAGGCTGTGTTGTGGTAGTGGTGCAGGGGTGGGCTGCAGGCAAGTACAAGCCCTCAGCAACCTTGATCCTGGCACAGGTTTTGGCTGTACCTGCCTTGAACTAATTGACTTTACTGTTTTGAGTGGTACTGGCTCAAGATGGGGCTGGATGCTCTCTGTGCATGCCGTGCTGCCATCACAAAAGGCCCTGACATACCTGCTGCCTGGAGCATATTCCCTGGCCAAGTGCTTGAGACCATGAGCATCCTGGCTATCCTCTTCCTGGACACCATCACTTGCTTCAGTGACCACTCCCCTGCCAGGTCCTGCTTCTCTCACCCTCCCAGTTAACAGCCCTAGTACCTCATTTCCCACTTGCTACTTTCTGGCTAGTGACTGCCTCTGTGCCAATGGCTGGCTGTCCAAGAGAGAGCAGAGGGATGGGCCTGCTCTTCCAGCTGTGGCTTTCCTAGTTCCACATTCCTATTCAAAAGTGAAGCTTGGCCTTCAGCTCTGAAATACCATAAATCTGAAGGTTTTTTGTCACGCTGTTCACTATTTTTCAAAGTTACTGATTGTGCATGCAACTTCTCAAAATCACTAAAAGTGAATTTTAAAAATGTGATTTAAATAATGCACATTCTATCCCTAACAGAGACAGTATGGCTTGGATAATTCTGGAGGCTACAAGCAGCAATTTCTAAAGAATATGGAAAAGGAAGTCAATAGAGGAAGGATGCAGCCTTTTGAATATCACAAGAGAAAAGCAGACATGATGGAATGTTTGGCTTCTGGTATAGATGATGGGAGAACAAAGACCTCAGGTAAGAATGCTGAAATTATACAGCTAAGACTGTACGGTTTTAGACCTAGGGTGTAGTGGCCAAACCTGTCTTTAACAAAGCATGTAATTGGATGTTTAATACTGGTTGCATCCTCGTTCTAATCCTTATTTTCTAGATCTGTCCGTACCAGTTTAGTCCTAAAGTAATAAAGAAACTAAAGGTTTATATCTAATCTTTATCCTAATGTAAACACTTTTTTCCTTCATTTTATTGTTTTCTTGGGGTTTTTTTTGTTTTCTTTTTTACTATGCAACCTTGGAACCAACTTGTATAGTTAAGGATCCAAATGCATTATGTATCAAAAGATTCAAATATGTTACTACAAGCTGGTTTTCCTTGAGTGAATACTTGTTTGCTACTTAGTACCCATTGGTTCCTAATCTAGTGTCTGTTAAAATTTACAGTAGATTTTTATCTTGTGTTTCAGTTAGTTGTAGTTAGTTGTAATCTAACTAACAGGTAAGGACAGTGTTCCTCTGATTACAAGTCCAAGAGAGGACTGGAAGGAGTAGACATGTACTTGATACATCTTCTTTGAAGTGTTTTATAATTGGTACAATACTGCAGTGTTGATGGATTTCCATGTCCCTTTCAAAAGGATTTCCTTGTTTTTACTTGCCAAGACCACAGTTCACAGGTCTTTTACCTTATTGCTAGTGGTTCTAACTTTCAAAATATCCAGTTGGTTCTTGACGGTAACATAATTTTTTTTTTTTCCTATAAGATATATTGAGTGGAAATAATACATTTAAAGTTTTCATTCTTGGTAATGATTTAGACTTCAGAAAATAATTCAGAAAAAAATCGGTAATGGCTGTAGAATGATTGTTTTCAGAACACCATGGCAAGAAATGGACTTTTGAGAATTTAGATATAAAAATTGGAGGGAGTGTTTCCAAGCATGTTCTTCCACGTGACAAAGGAAGATTTGGAATATCCTGCAAGAAGATTAAAAAAAATACTTACAGTAATTCTCAAATTCTGTGCCATTCATTTTCATTTCTTAATTTCTTCAGGGAAAATAATTTGAGGGGGATAAAAAGATTACACAGTATGCATAAATATTTCCATGTTCTTAAGGGGACGTTGTACTGGAGGTGGCCATGGCGTGGGAATGCTATTTTGGTGGCATTAGTTTTCCTATTTTGTTGTAATAGAAGAGAAGAAGGTTATCAAGAGTAATCAGCATGGATTTACCAAGAGGAAATCATGCTTGACTCATCTGATAGCCTTCTATGATGTTGTGACTGAATGGATAGATGCAGGGAGACCAGTGGATGTAGTCTAGCTTGACCTTAGCAAGGCTTTTGACACAGTCTCCTATAACATCCTTGTGAGCAAGCTCAGAATATGAGGGATAAAAGAATGGGTAGTGGGATGGATTAAGAACTGGCTACACAATAGAGCCCAAAGAGTGATGGTCAATGGTGCAGAGTCCAGCTGGAGACCTGTAACTAGTGGAGTCCCTCAGGAATCAGTGCTGGGTCCAGTCCTGTTCAACATCTTTATGAATGACCTTGATGGCAGGACAGTGTCTTCTCAGCAAGTTTGCTGATGACATGAAGCTGGGAGGATTGCCTGATTCATCTGAAGGCTGTGCAGCCATTCAGCTAGATTTGGACAGACTGGAGAGCTGGGCAAAGAGGAACATAATGAGATTCAACAAGAGCAAATGCAGAGTCCTGCACCTGGGAAGGAACAACAAAAAGCACCAGTACAGGCTAGGAGGTCATCTGCTGGGGGCAGCTCCGTAAAGAACAACCTTGCAGTCCTGGTAGACAAGTTCTCCATGGGACAACAATTTGCCCTTTGTGGCCAAGAAGGCCAGTGTTATCTTGGCATGCATTAAGAGAATTGTGTCCAGCAGACCGAGGGAGGTTCTCCTCCCCCTCTACTCAGTCCTGGTGAGACCTCACTTGGCATATTCTGTCCAGTTCTGGGCCCTTCAGTTGAAGAGGGACAGGGATCTACTTGAGAGAGTCAAATGGAGGGCTACAAGGATGATTAAGGGACTGGAACACCTACCTTGTGGGGAAAGGCTGAGACCTGGAGCTTTTCAGTCTAAAGAGGAGAAGTCTGATGGGGGTTCTAACTAATGTCTATAAATACCTGAGGGCTGGGCATCAAGAAGGCAGGGACAAGCTCTTTTCACTTGTGCCCTGTGATAGGATGAGAGGCAATGGATTCAAACTCAAGCATAGGAAGTTCCACCTCAACATGAGGAAGAACTTCTTTACTGTGAGGGTTACAGAGCACTGGAACAGGCTCCCCAGAGAGGTCTCCTTCTCTGGAGACTTTTAAGACTTGTCTGGATGCCTTTCTGAGTGATTTTTGTTCCTGCTCTGGCAGGGAGATTGGACTTGATCTTTAGAGGTCCCTTCCAATCTGTAAGATTCTGAGATTCTGTGATTCTGTAATAGTTCCTGTCCATATCACAGTTCATAATGTAGTTCAGGCTGTTTTATATTAAATATTCATTGTGTAGCAACAGTGAGGACATAGCTTGACCTTTGAAAGCCTTTTAGTACATACTTCATCAAGATGGAATAGGTGCTGTGTCCACCGATTTGGGGATTTGGGTTCTAGATGTAATGTAGGATCACCTAGAAGTTTTAAAATAAATTATCTTAAACTGTATCTGTTCCGAGCTGGGGAAATAATGTTTTTCTGGTGAATTTTGTAGTTGATGTTATTGATAAACTTTGCATTTGATCTTCTTTCAGGAGTCATTGAAGCACTGTGCAAGTACTATCAGAACGAAAACAAAGACGTGAGGCGTGTATGGCTTTCCTCAGGAGTAGATCACTTCCACTCATCTTTGGGCGACAGAGGCTGGGGTTGCGGTTACAGGAATTTCCAAATGCTCCTTTCCTCACTGGTGCAAAACAGCTTGTATAATGACTGCTTGAGAGGTATTCAAGAAAATGCTACCCGTTTGTTTCATGTACCTCAGATGACAACCTGTTTATTCATGTTTTGCCTTTTCATTTACACAGCAAGAATTACTAGGTCAATGAGATTAAATGCTGGCTATACCACTGGAGTTTACTGTGAAAAGGAAGAGAGGTGAATGCTGGCAAGGCATGTTGTGGTTTTAGCTTTAGGTTTTTTTGTGCATTGTTGTAACATCAACTGTCTCTTATAAAAGAAGCTGCGTATTTTTAATTAATAGACCATTTCAGTAACTGTAATCACAACTTAAAAACTTTCTGTTCCAGATACTACACTAATTCCTGGTATACCAAAGATTCAGTCCATGATTGAAGATGCCTGGAAAGAAGGCTTCGATCCTCATGGAGCATCTCACTTCAACAACAAATTACGCGGTTCCAAAGCATGGATAGGAGCCTGTGAAATTTATTCACTGTTAACCAGCCTTAGGATAAAGTAAATATTGCTTTTCTTTGTTGTTGTTATTTTTAAGTGTTGATTTAAGTCCTGTACCTTTAAAGGTCAGACTCACCAACTGCATGATTGTCACTAAACCACTAAAACCTTAGTGGCTTTAAATCTAACCAACTTGTAAACAAATCTGATTTAGTGAAGCATAAAGCTGCATAACTACTTATGCAGGCAAATAAACTGAGCAACTACTTACATCTTTGAAACTTGGTGAATATGTTACATTTGCATAAAATCAAAGACTGATTAAAAATTTAACTTCTCTGAATTTTCTTCTCAAGAAGAATCTGAATTTCAGCTATTCAAATGCGTAATTCTGAAAGTTGTTATGCAAAAAGACCAAGCATTTTAATTTTGGCAGGCTTCATAAGTTGTTGTTGGACTCAATAGAGTAGAGCATTTCTGCATTATGGTGTAAATCTTCCAGTTTTGGACAGTATGTATTGCAGTGCTTTGTAATTATGTGTCCTTTACTCTGTTGGGTATTGCAGTGCTTTGTAATTATGTGTCCTTTGTTGTTTTTTTTTTAAATAAGTGGTCATGACCACTGGACATCTGGAATTGCTGTGTTTACCAAACATTCTTGGTACAGGAAGCAGAGACTGAGAAGTGAAACAATTGTTTTAAGAAACAACCCCTTTGAAACGTTATTGTTGCTTTCATTCTGAATGTGCTGTAGGTGTCAAATCATTGACTTTCACAAACCAACTGGCCCCATGGATACGCACCCTCGTTTATTCGAGTGGGTTTTCCGTTACTATTCTACCGATAATGAAGGTGGTGCAAAGGTAGTGTGTACTTCCAAACCACCCATCTACTTGCAACATCAAGGTCAGTATCACAATCTGCTGGTTTCAAACTAGTCTCTATCTTTCTTCATATGTGCTGCAACTTAGAGCAGCATTTTACATTCCTTCTGCATTTAATGGAAGGCATGGCTTTGTTTCCTTTTATTCTTTTTATTTGGGCAGAACCGTGTTACAGTTTTGTTTGTATAGGATGGAAGAACTGATTGTGATTTGGATCTCAACTTTCTGATATCTGCTCTTTACTTATAACTACCTTACTGAACTTAAAGTGATGTTCTCCTTGGTGGAAAATAAGTAGTATGTTACAAGGAAATAAATTAGATTTGTGTGGTTTTAAAATACTGAAACTCTATTTTGAAATTAGGTCATAGTCGCACTGTTGTTGGAATAGAAGAGAAAAAGAATAGAAGCTTATGTCTGCTACTGTTTGACCCGGGTTGTTCTTCCCAAGAAATGCAGAAACTGCTAAAACCCAACAACGATGGTATTAATATCAGACTGCTTCGGAGATTTGTGGGTAGCTTAAAAGAAAAGCAGTACCAAATAGTGGCTGTAGATGGTGTACTCTCATTGGAGGAGAAAGCTGTAAGTATTTCAGAAAATGGTTTCTATCTAAGAAAATCTAAGAGAATCTGCATCTCTTCTGTACTACTCAAATGCATATACATATATGGCTCCATGGTGAATATTTTTCATCTCTTCACGTTCCTTGTTCTTCTCTGCTACTTTCTGCTTATTCTCTGTGAATTGAGTAATAAGATACCAAAACTGAAAAAGTGTTGCATATAAATGCATGCCATCTTGATGTAAACAACAGCTTCTTTTATGAAGGTTGCAGCTGTTTGTGAGTATAAATTGAGCTTTTTTTCTTTTCATTTTCTTACAATATTGTCTCCTAACTTATTGTGGGCATATAAGGTACTTACAAAGCATTGACAGACCCAGGTTATGTTCAGAGGTTTTTATTGCAGTTTTGTAAAGCTATATGGTATCTCTCAGCCTGTGATAGTTGAAGAACAAGGCACACAGATCGTGAGGCCTAACTATCCAATGTCTCCTTAACTTGTACACTAGAGCTAGTGCATTCTGCTTTCTGAAAATCCTTAGAACTTCATGTATTAAAAACTTGCATGTTTGAGCTATTTCTCTTTGGACACTAATTTTTTAAGACCTTGGAAGCTTTCAGGTGAATGACAGATAAAAATTCTCTTTCTTAAGCTTCCTCTTTCCTAAACTAACAAATTGATTCTGAGGAACCATATTCTGATTCTGTGGTGTCTTATCAATACTAACTGAGCATGTTCAAGCTTCAGGACAGGTGTTTCTTTAAACTATGAAATAACTGGTAACTGAGTCACCCACTCACATGTCTTTAACACCAGTATATTGAAATGAGGTATTGTCTTAAGTGTTTTCTGGCACTGAACATGCCAGAAACAATAGTGAAACACATCCAGGCTATCTTCCTCCTGCTGGTGAAAGCTTTACAATTCAGGGCACACTAAAAGGAAGTGTTGTATGGGATTTGTGTGGGGTGTTTTGTTTGTGTTTGGGGGGTTTTTTCCCATTTTTTCAAATGTTTTATTTATATTGACAAATATAAATTATTTAGAATTTTGTCTTGAAAGCTTTTCTTTAATCAAGATGAAATATAACCCCTTATACTCATTAAGCTTACTAAACTACTAATTTGGAAAATTCTCTTTGAAGTGGTATTTTTCTTCATTAAACTATTCACTTTCCCTTCTCTCCACCATTTTTTAGGCTTGCTGCCGTGCTTCTCAAGTCTTAACATCAGAGAAGATTCCTTAAAGGATGCCTTTATTATCTTTCTTACCTCTTTTGGAATCTGCTGGATGCAAAACATTAGACTTCTGGACTGTGACCCTAACTCAACAATTTCTTGACTTATGCTATGTCTCCATAAGTGGGGGCCCTGGAGAAGCACAACATTAGAGTAAACCTGTATTTTTGATCTTCAATCAATACTGCCCTCCTGATGAATCTGTAAGTCTGAGGTATTACAGTTGCTGTCTTAACTAGGAAATGTTCTGTTTTCTTAGTTAAATTGCAATGCAACACCTACCATTCTGTGACAAGCTATTGCACCATAGTTAACTGTCAATAAGCAGTGGATAGAGATCCTGTGGAACTACTTTACTGGAGTGCCTCTGTAAATGTATTTATGCTGACTATTGCCAGTGCTCCATTTCTTACCAAATTTGATCAACAAATACCTATTACATTTCAGCAAATTCTCCTGCAACTATTTGCAGAGTACAGAGACAGATCAGTGATTTTACATGATACAATCTGTTCCACCAGGGATTAGTTTACTATTGAACTTTTTTTTAGCTAGCTGGCTAGTCCAGCTGTCACTTGTAAACACAAATGTGTGTGCTTATGAGGTGGGTCAGTGTTAGCATTGATCCTAACACTGATCCTATCTTAGACCTCACAGTTACAGATCTAAGATAGTGGTGTCCAAAGTAGAGTGCTTGTGCTCTAGGGACTCTGCAAGACCATTGACTGGGAAGTTTTCCTTTTGTATCATGAATAAATAAAACTTTTAGAAGTGTTTGTTTCATCTTTGCCATATCTTTTTATTTCCATTTCTGTGTATGTTTTGTAGTTTCCATTTACTCTAAGTAGAGCTTAGGTGCTTCCCTCTAATTCAGACTCTCCTACATGTTGACATCTCGATGCAGGTGTAGGAGTCTTACTGTTAACCTGTTTCTCTCATGTTTAACATGCTCTGGCAATAAGAACTAGTATCTTTTTAAAGTAGTGAAACATTAAGATGTAAAGATATTACAACCTGTAAATCAATAATTCTTTCTGAAATGTGCATGAAAGTAAAAAAAAAAAAGGTAATAATTACAAAAATGTGTTCATTTCAGTTGTTATGTAGAAGTGGCCTATAATCTGTGGAAGGGTTAAATATTTAGAACTCTGGAGGGGCTGAGGCTAGGGACAGAGTTCCTGGGATTTGGAGGACCATCCATGGCCACATTAGTCCTGTTCTTCACTTGCTGCGAAGTGTTGGCAGCCATGCTGTCATTTAACCTCTCACAGGTACATTTCTATCTCTTCTGCACTGTTCCCTCACCTCCCCTGTGACAGGGGCTAATTCCAGACCCAGAATATGCTTCACCAGTGTGACACTGTGCCCAGATGGATGGCCACCAACCATTTAAGATATTGGATTCCTTGTGTAAGCATGACCTTATGGCAAGATCCCAATAAATATTCTTTGTGTTTGGTTTTTGTTTCGGTTTGTTGTGAGGTTTTTTTGTTTGTTGGTGTCTTTGGTGTTTAATTTTTTTAACAAGCACTCTGGAGTGTCAGAGCAACACATGCCTAATTGCACATTGATTACGGTCAGGTTCCTGGTGTCTCTTGTTTCTGTTTGACTCTAGAAATGCTATGTAAAGGTCTGACCAACCAAGGTGATAATGGTATAGTTAAACAGTCACCTTTTCAGGGAATGGCAGCTGGGGCAGGGTAATGGAGTAACTTTCAAATTATTAGTTGGGCACCACTAGAAAGAAAGTAGTGGGGTAACAAAATGTTAAAATAATGAGACCCAGGATTTGCAGCCTAAATGATTACTGAAAGTTTACTTTGAGAGAGAGAATGAGTGCATTTGGGCTCAAAGCTGACTAACTGCTCACGGCATGTTGCATCTTATTGTCAGTCTCCTTTGGGTTCACAGAAGCTGAACTTTTTATCGTCTTTGCAAATAGTTGCCCCAGAGAAACAACGGGATCCTGTTTGGATCTATTCGCAAGACCCTGAATATTTGATTACTTTTTCAGAACTGTCCCTTCTAAGTAGCTGCAGTTGCTGAAATTAACAGCCTGTTTTCCAGCCAGTGTCTGCCCCTAGGATCAATAACACTATGATAGTTATGGTGAGAGTGTAGTGTGCAGACCCAAGGCCCATGCTTGGTTCTGAAAAACATCATATGCTCTGGAACCAAAAGGGAGTAAAAGGGTCACATGTGTGACCCTCCTGTGGGGAGGAGTGGAGCAAACAGGTGACCAAAATTACCTAAATGAAGTATCCCTTCCCCTATGTGTCATACTCGATATAAATTGGAGACATCAGGAGTGTCAAGCTCTTCTCTTATCTGTGGCTGGTGTCTTGGAAGGATTCTGCCTCTTTGTCTACCTTTAATGCCAATCCGTGTGTTCTTGTACCCCTGTGTTCCTGCACCCAGCTCTTATCTGCTGCTGACGAAAGGACTCAAGTCTGGGACTTTCCCAGGGCCTGCCCTGCAGCCTCAGTGGTGACATGAGCATTATGGGAAGGGAGACACAATAATACTTTTGCCTATATATTATATTATATATTATTATATGTTATATATTCTATTATTTTCCTTTAACAGAGAGCCATTTGTTATTCATTTAATTGCCAGCCTGGCATTAAACCGTGACACCTCTGCAAGACAGGTCACAAAGTGATCACTGAAAAGCCTACTGAGTCTGCGATACCTCAGGTGCTGAAGAAATTTATTCTGTACATGGAGTAAGTTAACGCACAGAAAAGCTACAGGTGATTATAATGAAAATTGCCACTTGGATTCATCATAGCTGTTTTATCATTATTTTGAAAATGTGTTAATTTCTCCTCAGGAACAAGGTCAAACTCTGTAAATTCAAAATTTTTTTGAGAAAATGTTTCATTGTTTTTTGTCTATTTAAATTCAATTTATCTTATATATGACTTCTCCAAATATTTTTATTCCTTGAGGAAGGAAAACAATATGGGTATGCAACTACTCCATCAGGCTTCCTGCTTTTCACGAAGCACATCAATTACTGACAATCCTGGAGATGTGCTGATTAACTACTTTTTTTTTTTCTTAAAGTTGAATAAATAACTTATTTATATATCTCAGTAAAAAAATGCAAAAAAAGCAAAATAAAAATAAAAAATACTAAAATTAAAACCTCCTCGAACAGTAACTATTTCTCCATTCTTTCTAATCTTTATATCCAGAACTCTCCTTTTCCTTCTGACTTTTTCTTTCCGTCTCTCTGTAATTTTAAAATAAAAGCAATGTTATATGGATGAGGTTTATGGCAGCAGTACCCTGGTTACTTCCCTACCTGGGTTATGTGCCATGAGTTCACAGTACACATTAACAGATTATTTATGTTTCTTTATTATCCTCTACTTGTTATGGCAGTCTCATTGTTGGATCCAGGTAAAGGTAAGGTATGCACAGGAATTACTTCTTTCTTATGCAGAAAATATTGAGCAACAAGGAGCAATAAGCTGCTTTTACAACCAGATATGCCAAAATCATGTAAACAGCTGAGATGCACTTAATGAAGTATTGATAGGGGTACAACAAAAACTATTGCCTTAGATCAAAAGAAGTTATTGAAATTATGTAGGAAAACTTGTCAAATCCACACAAAGCTTCCTAACAGAAGTTTTAACCTACACATATGTTTTGTCATGAAACCTAGGTAAGACTGATCTCACTTGGCTTGACTGGTGCTTTTTTTCCTTTATGCAATTTTGAGATACTGCCTGGAAATTCCAGGAAAAAAATTAAGGCTGATCAGTTTGACAACGTGCTGTTTGTTGGTGCTGTCAGAAAAACTCTCTCTGTGTGTCTATCCATCAGCATTCTTTTGGTTTATTTCTTTACCTGCTTTTGTTCTGAGCACAGGAGCAGGGTGACTGACACTGTGGCATCATCTGCATTTTACTTCCTCATTTGAATGCTCATTCCTCTCTTGGAGATCACAACAGTATCTTCTGTATTGTTGCTTTCACCTGTGGCCAGCACAGTTGGATGTATGCTTTTTTTTTTTTTGCCTATGGTGTAATAGAAGGAAGAATGTCCCAAAGTTTACATTGTATTATTAAAATTTGCTATTAGCATTTCATTTATCAATTCACTACAAAAACCATTATGAATTTATGTTTAAGTAATGCCTAAAAGCCCAAATACCTAGGCAAAGTCCAGAGTGCTAACAAGTGCACACACAGAAGATTAATGCATTTACAATCTAAAAATAAGACAACAAACAGCAGATGGACACAGCCACATCCCAGAGAAAAGGGAAACAAGGAAACAAGAGTTAGTGTGATAGACAATGACTGTCCATCTGCTGGCAAGTGATTTACAGGTGCCATAGCATAGGGTCACCTAAAGAAGGGCTTTCAAGAAGGAAAATTATCTTGTTTTGTAGATATTTAGAAGGAATTTGTTTTAGGCATTATGAAGAATATTGGAAGAGGGTGATGGAAGGTGACATGGTCACTTAAATGCCATTTATGCTGAGGGAGAGAAAAGATGTAGGAGGAAATAGTCTAAATTTTGAACGTACAGGCAAACTTCCCTCTTCCTCCTGAAAAAGTGGGAGTTAAACAGGCAAAGGGTATTTTACTTCTCAATGTTAAGGGAGAAGAAGCCAAATATGTTGTTCGTGTTCTTGTAGATCTATCAGAGACATTTATATGAACTGATACATTAATTGATGGCCTCTACATCTAAGGACTCTCTGGAATTTATTCCTTCCTGCTCTTTTTTACTGGCAACTGTAACTTCTAAGAAAAAAAATGCAAAGCTCACCATTTCAGATTACTAACAATCAGAGTTGGAGGTTCTTTTACAAGAAGTAAGCAGAATACATAGGGATGTCTGTTGGTTGTGCCTTACTCTCTGTGTCTAAATTAATTATTTTTCATCAAACATGCATGAGCAGCTTCATTTGCTAATTTCTTTTTTTAATTTTGTCAAAAGCAAAGATTGAAGATGGTTCTTTTGGACCCTGTTATTATAATGT